CTCAAAGTGGCTGCTGCAAAGCACCTCAGATGATTACACAGAACCTGGTGAGCTCACTGGGTGGCAAATGTCATGCAGGTCTTGGCTCAAAGCGATGTGCAATCCAATACTGATTATATTTACTCTCTAAAATTGTGTCCCAAAACGAACAATTGCCTAAAATTGAACTGGCTTGAACACAAAGTATGGTTTTGTTCTAAGATAATTTGATATGCACATATATTATACTTCATCTCATTATCACAAATACAGGTTGTGATACAGATGATCAATTCCTATTGCTATATAGCAAACATTCTGGCTTTACTGTTCCAATACTTTTGAAGGGCACCTGTGGTTCAGTTCTGGCAGCTCAAAACACCTTCCACAACCAACCCCCCTTGTTTCAGGCAGTTTACCAAACGCCTTTTCATGTGCTCAGAATTGCATCATAAATATTTAAATTTAGACATGACGGAAAGTTACCCTCCTTAGGTTGCCTGCCAAGCATATCTGTCTCTCATAAGACCTTGTATCTAGTTCTGGAATATTCTAATGCAACCAAAATGTCTCTAATAACTATTATACTCATTAGATTTAAACAATAATGGACTTTAAATCCAGTAAACATAGAGTTAAAAAGCAAATGTATTGGCAAAGATGTCTGTAGAAACATTTTGAATGCCATATCACAAATGGTGACAGACACAAAAAATGTCTGTTCCATGGTGAATACGGATTTAATGGTTTTAATTATAGTAATATTACTAAATCTTTTCTTAGAAAATGCATTTGGGGTCCTGTAGAAGCAGGATTGGGGACTCTTGAACCAGAGGAGATACTGATGTAATAGAGAAATAGATGAGTAGAATCTGTGAGGAATATAAAAAAGGGGGAACTGAATTCTTAAGGTCAGTTCTAATAGGGTGAGGGACGCACTGGGCAACAGAAAGAACAAACTCAATGTTTAAACTTAAATAATAAGCATATGGAATAAAATTCAACCACTTAATACAACCACATGCACGGGAAACAGTGGTTTTATAAGAGGAACTGAAATGTGCTTAGAAGAGCGCACAGGGATGAATATAAAGTTGACAGTCTTTTTGTTTTTACACTGATACAGTACATATTTTTCTGAATGACAGGCAGGACAGGAGAGGTGGTGTGGTGGGATTATATATCAAAAGCAACCTGCAAGATAGTGAACTGGAGCAAGAGACTACAGGTATTTTAGAATCTATATGGGTAACATAGTTACTTGTACAGTAGCTTAGCGTATGATGAGAAACGGAAGGTATATATCATAGTCAACATTATATTTCTGTAAGATTTCGATTTTCCACACTTAACCTGGAATATTGTGATGGAGAACAAAGAAATTTAATATGATACGGCTGAATATGATTTCTTCTTTAACTGTACTTGTAAAGACACCAACTAGGGAAGATGCCGTTATTGACCTATTTAAAAAAAAAACAACTTGATATAATTAAAGTGATAGTTGTAATAGAACCACAAGGAAACTGTAACCACAATCTTTTGATGTATACTTGAAATATCTAAAAGCCGAATTTAACATTTAGGATTCCAGATGAGATTTCAAAAAGTGAACTAGAACAGATCATCAAGAGTAAATAGAAAAAGAATGGTTACACGTCAAGCACATAACGTTAAAAATGAATTAATTCCTAAAACAATTGAGTTAAGATGTAGGAAAATGTGGCCTGACTCATTTCGAAATTAGAAGATCATCAGAAGGTAAAGAGTGCTCTAAAGACTGTGCAAAAGCGTCCAAGATTCAAAGATAAAAACACAATACACTTAACTCCAGGTGCCCCAGAAAAAAAAGACATTAGAATTGCAAGAGAAACAGAAAAGAATATTGTAACAGTGGTACAAAATGCAAAGTTTCTTCATCAGTATTATAACAATAAAATAAATGTTAAAGTAGAAGCACATGCGTATGTCACAATAGTGTGTTAAAAACTATGATGATAAAGAAAGAAACACTATGTTTAATAAATATTTCTCATAAGGTTTTAGAGTGGAAATGCCAATAACTTGCCTCATGTTATGGAAACACTTACCAAAGACTTGAGAATTGGACAACTACTAATACTTGACTCATCAATTCACAGACTAATTCTGGTTTTAATCTATGTAAATATCGAAGTTTTGAAAACAAAGGCCGTTTGTTTTTTTCATGTGATAATAAGTGTGCATATGTACTGTAGTGCAAGCAAGCTGGATTCAAAGCATGGTCACAGACACACCTCAGTGTCCAAAGAAGTATCAATCCGACCACAACAAAAGATTAGTCTTCTGGCCCAGGGGATTCAAATACTCTTGAGAGGCAAGGAGAGTGAAGGCATTTAACAGGCTAATTTTACACTGTGAGTCACTCTCCACCTCTAAACTCTGTAGCAGCCTCAGCATCTGGAAGATGACAGAAACTTCATCAACAGAACACCTCGTATTTTCCTGAACGGACCAAAAGCACGTCAAACCTATGACTTATGTCCCTTGACATATCTTATGAGGGACCTGAGAACTCACATCACAATAAAATATTCTTTGTGGACCCTGTTTCAGTTGTATACTTATCTTATAGACAGCCATGAAACTGGGGTGTCACTTGTTAATAAAAAAATAGGAAAAGCAGATCTTTTGCTAGTTTTGTTAGTTTACATTTAGGTTTATGTTCTATATTTTCCTTGCAGCACTGGAACCCTGGGTACAATTACCTGTGTATGTTCTCCATGTGTTTGCACGGGTTTCTTCCTGCAGTCCAAAGACATACTGGTGTGTGTGCACGCAGTGATGGACTGGATGTGTTGGATAAAGCAGTCAGAAACTGGATGTACGCAGGTACTGTATGCCCAACTGATCACAAATGTGCAGCCGGCTCTCACTTGAGAACTAATTAGCACAGACTGGTTTGTCCACACTACCAAATATATTAAGTATTCTTTCTGGACATTTATGTTTGAAGATATTGAAATAAGATGTTGTGACAGGATTTAGTTTTGTTTAAGAATTTTTAAATTATCTTAAATGAGAACCTTCATAAGACAATTACATAACTACTGTATCTCTTCAATGACATCATCAGGTATGGCTGATTTAGAATTTAGAATATTTTGAATTTTTCAAAAGAAAGAAGACACTTAACGCAGGTCTCTTTAGTTTTGTACCTATTGTCCATTCACCATCAGAAAGAACAGAAAGATTCAGAAGACCGCCATTTTAACACTGTTGCAAATAATGCCTGATTTATTGATATGCCACCTGGTAAATTAGGTATTTCTAATGCTTCAGAAATAACCTATGCAGTAACTTGTTTTTAAAATGTAGCTTAGCATTTTCTTAAAAACAAGCCACTGAATACTAGATGTATCCGGTTCAGTCTGGTTCCAAGGTTTTGTTTTTGTAACACAAGATGTGAAAGAAGACATTGTGCATGTGAATCAGTTCGTCTTGAGTGGCGCTGCATGTATGATTGCACAGATGAGCAGTAGCTGAAAGTGTGTGGCCTGGTTCCTAACACTGAATGAACTCAGCGTGTTGGCAGAGACTGAGGAGAGGCAGGTGTCTGCAGAGTGGCAACAGGCCACGTGTGCTCTCTTAGCTTGGCTGTGATCTAACCATTGAGGCTTCTCTGGATATAATGGATGTTTGCAAGTATTAATTAGATTATAATGAATAGGTTTAGCCTTCTGCAGCCATACACTACCAGCAAGAAACCTCTAGTCAGCAGGTTTTAGGGTGAGAATGTGACAATTAACAACTTACAGTAGCTGAAATACAAGTTTTAATTAAAAACAATATGTTTCATGATAGAGGAGGCCATGATGACCTTGGAAAAAAAATCAACTAGATAAAAAGGTGACAAAGGAATTTGACAGATCTTAGGATTTGTTAATAATGTCACAATTATTTTTTCTATAACTTAAAATAATACATTTCCTGCTACTGATCACATTTTCAATAAAACCTGATGGATGAAATAGAAGCATGAGTTGAAGGATATTTTTGAATAAAAACATTGTGGTTTTGGCTCAGTCTGTGTTACCTTTTCTCATACTGCAAGCCCCACAGTTTCTTATTAGGAGCATAAGGAAGGTGGGAAGTGACTGATGTCATTGCAAATTTGCAGGTGCCCACCCAGTCGCAGAACCTACGGTTTTAGTAAAAGGTAATAAATAAAAAATGGTTTCATTCATGTGGAAAGAGTTTTAGCCAAGGTTACAAAAAAGATGCTTTGTGGTACTCACGGGTAAGAGCAGACATTGACAGCTTGGGTTTATTTTCACAGTGAGCAGCTGTCAGGAAGAACTGCTGTTTCTGAAATAGTATCGCCGGCTCTTACACAGTGCCTGTCGGCCGTAAGCGTTACAGTATCATCAAGATACGAAGTTAAGAAAGTTTACAGATGAGAGGAGACTAACTTTACTCATCTTTTTTATCCAGGTTTTCAGTGTGTTAGAACTAAAAACAGACCCCATCAACACCCTTCATTAATGTTCCCAGTGGCTCAGGTGTGTAAAAATGATTAGGCAGTTCAAAATACATCCAGTCCTACTTGTATGGTACCTGCTATGCTCAATGCTGAAATTAATAATTGTGTGAACACCAATCAAAGAAATCTCCAGCAGACTGAACCTACACACATTCCTTCAGGAAGTGTTCGACTAAACATTCCTTTCCAAGGAGAACCTGCGAGACAACTAAGCAAGGCTGGAGCAGAATTCAGGAAAACAAAAACCTCACAAAAGCAGAACACGCCTGCATCAGTATGCTGTTTAAAAGTTGAGCTCGCCTGCTGCAAGTTTTCCGTTGCTTAATAAAGGCAATGTTTTAATTAAAGAAAATAGTTGTGTACATAGAAACCCCCCACCTCTATAAAAACGTTCCACTACAGTAGCAGATGGAAAACACCACGCTGCGCGCAGCAGAGCGCTGCAGGAGACACGTGACTAAAATGTCGCAGTTCAAAGTTGAAAGTCGAAATATAAACACAGACACGCAGTGCAGTATGGCGGTTCTGGCTGGGAGTGGAGTTCTGTCTCGGACGTTTCGGTCTGTTACATTATGCCCCAGCATTAACGGAGCTCGTAGGCTGTACGTGAATGCAAAATCCCTTTACCATGCTCTCCTCACAAACGAATTGCAAAGACTTCGACCTGGGGGAGGTACAGTGGGTCGACTTTACAGCTCAGAGGCCAAGTCGAGTGGTGCAGACGACCTGAGCGTTAGGTACTTGGATGGAGAGGACTCAGGTATAGAGATTAATATTGTTAAACAGCCTGACCGAATACACAGTTAGTGAATATATTGCCACACAATCATTTGTGCTGCACGTTGTTTGCACACAATATGTATGTAGAAACGAAGTACCGAAAGTGATTTAAGTATGTGCACGAATTGCAGTTTAATTTGACTGCACAATTTTATGCAGCTAACAAAATGTGCGTCGACTTTGAAATGCTTAGCTTTGAAATAGTTACGTGATATCTGATAGAAAGTATTTTGAAAGTTATAGAAGCAATACTCAATGAAGTAATACATTTCAATATATTCAGCAATAATTATTCTGCGTGAAAATCTTACAATGTCACACACATATTATTTTCAACGATATTCTCAGTTTGTGAAATTTTATGTTTCGTGCTTTGCTGCTTGTGATGGTTACCTCCTGGTTAATGACCGTGAACCGCCTGTCGCTAGTGCTTATGGGAAGTAAGGCAGAAGACATGGCACATTCAATAGGTGCTCACTTATGTACATTCATGAGTTAGTGGTGCAGACATTTTAGGTTTAATTCTGGGGTAGAGAAATTTAACTGTGTTTATGCTTACCCGTGTCGTGTTTAATTTGTGGATTTGCTGAAGAAGACAGAGGCCCTGGTAGTCTAGAATCATTTTGTCAGGTAAATTTGGAGATGGAAGATTTGGAATTTATTATAGGGTAGAAGACCAGTTGTGTACCCTAAATATTAGTAGTGCATGTTCAGCAAATCTGATCTTTTTAAAGAACAAATTAGTTTAGAATACAGAAGTGGCTTAACCCTACTGTTCAAAAACCGCACTTGGCTTTTATAGCTTTTAGCCAAAAGGGTCATCTGTCTAGTATGTTAACGTCTCAGTTTTAAAATTGTGGTTTGTTCATGCTGGTGATTTTAAAACCTTACAGTCAAGAATTTACCGAGGGTTTTCTCAACTGTAGCAACATTCTCGGCAACAAATTATTAAATCTTTTCCTTGCATTGAATGGTTTTCATTTTATAATGAAAGAAACAGCTGGGTGAATATATTTTGAAATGTTGAGTGATGCATTTTTTCCAGTTCAGTTTAACATAAAATATAGAATGACACATAAAACTTAGAATCATGTTTTTTTTTAATAAAATTGCTCCAATTAAAATATGAGTGGACTTTTGTAGTGTGGATAGTTTTTTTTGTATTTCCTCTGGCTTGCTTTTTTGTGACAAACATGCCTTTTTAGAGCCATGTATAAATAACGATCTTTGATTTCTTTTTTAGGAATTGTGGTGCTTGGAATACACAGACCAAAGGCTAAGAATGCAATAAGTAAAAACCTTGTTAAAATGGTAAGTCCCTACTGTATGTAGGTTTCTTATGTGATCTTTCCCCCTGTTTATTTTTAAGTTAACAGATTTTCATCTTTGTTTTCCAGATGACTGAGGCTGTAGATGCAGTAAAAAGTAATAAACGTGTTCGGACAGTCATCATATGCAGTTTGGCGCCTGGAATATTCTGTGCTGGTAAGTGGTTTTCAACTGACCTTTGGTAGGTCTATTTATATTTTTATATTTGAATGGAAGTTTAAAATGAATGTTAATGGTATCAATGTATGAAAATGCTTGTTGATTACTTCAGAAGTCAATTTATTGAATTTGAAAGTTTACTCGTTCAAAATTACCCTAATGTCTGCTGTTACCTACAGGGTATCGAACTTTAAACATATCTCAAAAGCTGATATGATTGACTTAGGTGCAAAGTGGAATGTTTGCAGAATGCTTTTAAGGCAAACGCCTACAGTCTAGCTTGGCAGATGTTAGGCCTTTGTTTCACTATGGAGCTATCAGTTCTTTTTAAGGGTGGACAAAGTAATCTTTTACATAAAAAATGTCAGCAATGGCTGTGTTCCATATTTGTAGATTGAAATTCAAGTTGCTCATTTTGACCAGCTGATCTTAATAGAGTTGACAGAAGTCACCAGTGGCTTGTAAAGAGTTAAGGAGAAGACAGCCAGCTTTTGTATTTTATGCTGATCACTTTGCATTGTCTTTCTGTTCAAATCATGTTTTTCCTGGGCAATGTAGCGGATATAAAAAGCAGTAATGTGGTAAGCATGCAGGAAATTCTAGATGATGAAATTCTAAAAATGTGCTTTGGATCAATAACAATTCTCAAGGATTAGGAGAAAACACTTTTCATTAGAAATGACTTAATTAAACAGGATTTGATACTTCACATTCAGTAGCAGCATCATATAGTGTTATTGTTGCCACTACCACTACCACCACCTGTCAAAAGATTTCAGAACAGCTGTTTGTAATGACGTTAACAGTCTGTTTTCCACTCTTTTTGTGTTGATAGAAAATGTATTTTACATTTACAGGAGCTGGTTTTTCAGTGCATGTTTTCAGATGGCAATATTTGAAAAAAGCTGATAGTTTAGATAATTGTAATTAACTTTCTCTACATGTGAGATCACCAGCAGATTTTCCTTTACATAAGGAAGTATAAAATTGCTTTAATGTGTTTAGTGTGGTATAAATCTTATCAATAGATAAGCAATGCTTTTCCAAACAGGATTATCTGTATTACCTAAGAAATTGACATTGTTCCTGTGTATTGCTGTTTTCCATACACACCTCCAGATGTTTCTGTATTGTTGACTGTTGCATAAAGAAATACTTTTTCAGCATAACATGTTAAAGGTGCCAAAATGTTCAAATGAATAAAAAAGCATAAACAAAATTTTAAGAGCAAAATGTCTACAGAACATATTAATTCCTATTTCTTTATAACATTTGTGAGGTTTTTTTTAAATATTGAGCCTAGTAAATAAACCTTAAATACCTGAAGCATTACATTTTGTTTTTTTTGTACACTCATTTTTAAACAGCCATGTGGTTTTTCAAAGTTTTTTTTAAACAACTTGGTTTAGTGATATTCAAAAAGTTTAATTCAAAACGGAACACTTGAAATTCATCCGTCTATTCTGTCTTGCAAATCTACAGTAAGTGTTCAGATTTCATGGTGGGTCAGAACGTTCATAGCACAAGATGATAACATTCTTCACAGCAGTTAGGCTCATGGCTTCTTGGAAGCTTGTTGCTCCACAACTTTACATTTTAAAGATGTATTTCCTGATCTTGTGGATAAGGCCTAGGTGTGTCATAGGCCGTATTGTTGGGAGCACAGAGAAGAATTTAGGCTTGAGGACAGGGTAAGACCCTAAGTCACACAGTGCCATGGGATATGACAAAGTAATCTGAACTTTGGTTTAATGCAAGATCAGGCAATCCCTGAATTCCTAACTTCCTACAGTTTTAAATTAGGACCCGATTAAGACCTGGAAAACAGCTGATGTAACATCTTATTCTTATAACTTCTTTTAATAATTGGTTGGCATTATATATATAAAAAAAAAAACAGAAACATGGTACTCGAGGAGAAGAGTTGCTCTGCTCCCTGTTGAACCTGCCATCTGAATGATGGCACCCACCTCCTACAACACAGTGCATCATGCTGATGCATTATTTTGGAAATCCTGCGAGGGCAGCAAAGTTTTTTTTTTCTTAGATTTCTCTCAATGCAATGTGTCTGTATAAGCATTCCTACTACATTCCTCTGTTTTTGTCTCATGTATTGTAAGGTGATAACTCAGAAGTATTTTCCACAGGATCACATACAGTACTCTTTTGTCATGGGGTTTTCTTCATGTGTGGGACTTCTGGGCTGACACAGGTCTGCATGAACCTGCTGGATGGCAGATGCATTTCCATCTGACCTGTTTGCTGATGATACTTTTGCTTCCATGTCTTTACAGTGTTTAACAGAGAGATAGCCAGGTGTGCTTGGTTAGGCTGGCCTTTGCTTCTGATAACCTTTAACACTGGCATAGTAACACTTCACCCTGTACTTTGGCTTTGAAGTTCTAGCTTACTGATTATAATGGTTTATTTTAAAAACATAATTTTTTTGGCAGTGCAGTATTATGAAATTGCTGTCTGCTCTTCAGTTGGCATTCTATCAATTTTGTTGTAGATATTATTTCTATAATTTTATATTTATATAAGTATTTGTTATTCTCTTGTTTTTTTTTTAATCTTATGTCACAGAAATTTCCAAACTCTAGCTAATGGTTAAGGGGGCTGTTAAAGATCACTGTCTGTCATTTAAGATTTCCTCTATCCATGTATAAAATCTGTTTTTAATATAGTATTTAATTTGTAATATCAAGTCATTTCATTTCGTATTATGGAACACACAAGTAATTTTGTCAAATCTGATTAGCTATCGTTAATAAACCCTTATAAGTACAAGTTATTGTTTTGTTGAATTACTTTTAAATGGCACAAGAGAAAAGCTTCCTTTCTTAATTTGAAGTAAAAATTCTTACAGTGACAGAAAAATGAATATGACTGATTTATGAACTGATCACGTTGTTAATACAGGATGTGAATCTTATAACAGAGATTGAATATGTTAGTAGTTCTGCTATAACAGGACATATCTTGATTGAACCTCCAGCATATCATTTTGCTTTTGATAAAATTTACAGAGGTAGAGATTTTTAATCTCTGACTAAAGACAGATCCAAGAAATCAGGCAGGATGTGACAGAATTACGATGTTTTGTTTAAAGTGCAGATTTTGTTTATTAAGTATGTCCTGCAGACTGGAAATTTGCACTTGTCTCTTTGTAACTAAAGTGACAGTTTGTATTTTCATTGTTTCAGGTCAGTTTTATTCTTATGTAAAGCAATGGAGAATGAATAACCCAATGAGTTTTCTGGACACATTCTGGGAAAGATACAAAATCATCAGTAGTTTCCTTAATATCAATACATTATTCACATTATATTGGTGCTTTTTATATTTGATCAATATTTATCTTATTTAATATTCAGACAAGAATATTCATAATTTGTTTATAATGTAAATAATATTAGGCTAGATATTGTTCACTATCTAAAGCCCCAAAATTAATAGTACTTTTTCAGTTTATATTCAGTATGTTGAAATTTTCAGGTATACAATGCACTGGGAATCAACAGAAATGTGTAATTTACAATTGCAACAAATTTAAAGTTCATGGATGATGACAAAATCCCTTTTGTAGGAGTGATGACATTTTGTTGAACAGACACAACATGGGTAAATTGATTATGTTGAGTAACATTATCAAAAGTGTTGATCAACAGGGGGTCTGCTGTGAAAGTCATAGTGTGAGGTGATCTAATAAGTGTGAAACAGCCTCTCAAGTGTATTCATTAATAAAAGAAACATCAAAAGCATTTAATCAGTTACAAACATCATTATACTTTATTTTTAAAACAATATAGAAATAAAGGTTTCAGTTTCTTTATATGCTTAGTATAATTTGGAATAGCAGATCACAATATTAGATGATTTTTTGCCATATGTTTTTACAGGAAACATGAGTAATGTTTTTCAAGCATGGGGTTTTACAAAATAGTTTGGCTTTGGTGTTTTTCATGTTCCTCCTTCAAGATCCCTCGGTTTTGTAATTTCACTATTAGAGGGTGGGGTGTTTTGTCTTCACTAGAGGCTAGAAAGGTCAGTGTAATCTAACTGAGAGATTACATTTCAGGCTCATTCCAAGGTTTAGATATCATGATGAATCCTGAAGTACATTAGAAATATTATGACAATAGTAAAACATTTAAAACAAATGTAATTCTATTCAGTGCTTAGTCTTTCCACAGAAGCAGTTGGATACAAACTGAAATTCAGTGAATAAGAAAATTATAAACCATTCATTTAAAATAGGATTATGGTCACATCTTATAAAATTATGGTCTTCAGTGCATCCTTAAAATGTTTTTCATTTCATGTACAATGTGAGGGTGTTTCAGTATGTAAAGACACAATGGCCTGCAGTTGTAGTACTCTCTGTATCCTGGTTGGGGCATTACCCCTACAAGTACTGGACAAAAAAGTGGAAGCATCTGGATAAATGAGGGATGCCACGCATGTTCAAAGGACTTCCACAGAGGTGTGGTTCATTTGTTAATTAAACTAAATAACATCCCAGCATAGGGTCATGTATAGAAAATGGTGGACAATCCTAGTTGCCTATAATCTGGCTATGATTAAGAATTATGAATTATGAAGAATAATGATTGTTAGGGAATTTTTGGCAAGCCCTTCAGTGACCAACTTTTACTTCGTAATGTTTCATGAGTAATGGTGTCTCAGGTGATGTCTGCTTAGAAAAACAAAGTAATTTATATGGGTATTCCCATGGTATTCTGCAGAGAGCAAACATGGGCGAAAGTGCATACTACAGGATCAAAACATCCATGTATCAAAGTGCAAGGCAAAACAGGGTAACTGTAGATCAGAGGGCTGCTAATTTCATCCTGGGCCACGAGCAGGCAGTTTCATCAAAAATGGTCCACTGAGATCTGACAATTCAGGATACCGTAGTTGGGTTGCTGTGCATAAATCTGTCATCACACCAGCAGTGCATCTTTGAGAGATTGTGGTCCAGTGGTGCCAAGAGC